TATTTTTTTAGATGGTATCACGTGCCCAACACTTAATCATTCTGTAAAAAATTTAACAGTCTGTTTATTTGGAGACCAAAATAACACGAATTGAATATTTTAATGACCAAATTGATACATTGAGAGCTAAATTAACAAAAAATACATATTTTAGAAACTAAAAATACTATTAACCCATAAAATATTAATCGAATTGGAAATGGTGATGCATGTAAGTCACACAATTTTCAAGTAGGTCGGCTGAAAAATGCTGTAAACATTATATAAAATTTGGTTTAACCTTGAAAAAATACATTTCTATGAAAAGTGTGTATGCTTTTCAAGTAATAATTTCAAAATGGTGACCATAAAATGACCCTAATTAAACTGCAGATGAAGAACTAAACAATCAGCTGCATATAGCTGTTGAATTTGCTTTTCTATAATCATAATCTCTTCTCACCCTACTAAAAATTGCAGATTGAAATAACCAATCAGCTGCATATACCTGTTAAATTTGCTTTTCCGAAATCATCAACTCTTCCCTTTTGTTAAATTGGATCAAGTAATTTTACCTATTATTATAGAATTAAGAATGAGAATATCTATAAAAAGGTAAAGATTTATTACGTCACCGTGAAAAAGAGTGATGTGTATTGATAGTAAACAAAGAGGTGGAATAAGACCAAAATTAATTATAAATAAAAAAAAATNATTGCAATGGTGCATTACATTGCATTTACACGGGGAAACCACATCCATGGATATGAGTGTGGGTGTGTGTGTGTGCATGGTTTGATCAATACCATACTTGGTGATTGATGAGTGGGCCCGAAAAAGTTGGATCGACGATCTGACTAAGTCGTATGGTTGCATGAAAGAAAAACTTGTGTCGGGAATAGCAAGCAGGGCTAGACTCTCCCTCGGGTGCAAGACCCGGTTACTTGGTTCATATNAGGCCAGAGATTATATAATATTAGGTAAATTTGTCATACATCGTAAAAATGACAACTCAAAGGAAAAGCAGCAATTTGTATTGTCAGAATTTTGGGGAAAAAAAAAAAAAACTGTTCCAAAAGTTTCAAGAACACAAACAGTTTAATTGATNTACTCCCCTGTGGTGAAATTCCAAAAAAGTGTAATGGCGTACGGAGCCAGTGGTGTGATTCCAAAATTCGATACCCAACAAAGACACATGATTTTGTTTTANTGATGTTGGAATATGCAATATCTGTTATTCAGTGGGCATATAATTAGATTCCATTAAACTGTATTAAATGCAAAAACAGAATTTATTTTATATCTATATAATGTTATATGCAATTAGTTTATAGAAACCAGAATTAATAAGCAACCTAAAATAGTTTGTATACTGTTATAAACAAACTAATCTAAACATAATGTATAACAAGTAAAATTAATGCACTCACAGTGACACAGATCTACACGAAATAGTAAAATTAGAAAACTAGAATATGCAATCCAAGTCTTGTGTAACTACTATCTCTTTAAGACAGATTTGCTCCCTCTCGGTGCTCAAGGTTGATGAACAACTGTCTCCCAAATTAGAACAAATTTTCTCTTTTCAAAATTAGCACTCCAATCTCCAAAGACCAACAAACACAATTTGTGTTTTTACTAGAATCGGACAAAGAATTGAATGCAGAAAGAGAGGGAGTCTAGTGTTTATTTGGATTCGTTGAAAGGACGCACCCAGTGCCTGTTCGGATCGAAGAGATAGACCCTTTGATATGAACATTAGCAAATGGAAAGACACTTCAAGGTGAACAGGTAGGAACAAGAACGGTGCCAAATTTGAATTCTAATGGACAAAATTTTTGAAATTCAGTTGGAAGGTTGAGACTAATCTGCGGACTGGACAGTTTGGATTGACCCACAACTCACACTGCACCAAACGAATTTTGTCCAAAAAGATTATATGGTCTGGGCAAGCGAGCAACAAGTGCATGAGCGAGCAACAAGTGCATGTGTCTGACAATCCAACGTATATGTAGGTGCTTGCCCGCTCACAAAATTGCTATGCCCTAAGGGTCCAAACCCAAATGTCAAACTAGGAGTATATCAATACACCAAGTTATTGGCATTCTTCCAAAATGGGACAAATATTCCACACTACACCAATCTTAGCCTATTCTATTAGTTCAAGTGAGTCACTTTGAAACATAATTTCTCATTCAAATCTTAATGGTTTTGGGCAAATAAATATACCACATTAATCTCCTCGCAGAGGATAACGAGTTTAAACATGGTTTGACCAATTTCGAGGTGTGGGTCCTAATTTAATACAAACCCAAAGTTTCTTAAACATTCTTTTTCAACATAATTTTTACAATAATCCCCCACATGAATCAAAATTCAACGTATGATAATGTAGACACCGGTTCAAGTACGATTGAAAGGTTATTGCATCAGGATAAGTAGCCTAGTGGCCTTGAACTTTCTGTAACGAAAGACTATTGGATTTACTTGGTTAATCAGTAGACTTGATGTCGTTGAACTGTTAGCTATTTGTGTAAACCAGGATAATACAATTCACATAGTTTCCCTTCGAACAGAGTTGGTTCTCACGTTCGTTTTCATTTTAGCCTTGAACAATACTGAGTTTCGTGAGTAATTTTAGAGTAATCAGCTTACGATTCTCATAGAAACAACCCTTTCTTTACCCATATATGTGATTTGTGATTAAGAGTATCTTGCTATACCCTACTTGAACTTGTTAAAGTCATAGAAACATCATTAAAAGGGTTGTGTTGTCATTATAGTGACTCTTTAAGCCCAATCCTCTTGGTGAAATTTTCACTTGTTTTCTAGTCAAACCTTTTGTAAGTGGATCTACAATATTATCATTCGACTTTACATAGTCAATTGATATTGTAAAACCCGGGTAAATTTAAACTTTTCCTGAAAAAGGGTAAAATGGTAATTTATCACTATAATGCACAATTAAAATACGTATTTCTACATAGCTCGGATGATGCAACGAGTTTCACCATTGGATTCGTCTCACAAAAATTAGTTATCCAAATAATTTTCGTCTAATTCCGAAATAGTTGAATTTTTTATGTTTTACGAGACAATTAGGTGTTGGATG